ACGTCGCCTGGCGCGTCCCTTGGGACGTTCCGCGGCGCGTCCTCTTGGCATGTTCCCTCTGTCGATTAGGTCTGGGGCAGCTACCATCTGCTCAGGCAGCTCGAGCTTACGATCCAGATCAGTTCGGTGAGGACTCGGATGCCAGGGAGGACTCGATCCACAACGCTATACAGAGCACAATCGCGGCATGGCACATCGCAGTTCAGCACGGCCCAGCACAGCACAGCCGTCGGCACGGTACATCAAGATCGATACACTCAACTATGCACCTTGGCACGTTCCTTGGCGCGTTCCTTGGCGAGTCCACCTTGCACGTCGCGCGGAGCGTCCCCTGGCACGTCCCTCGGCACGTCCACTGGCACGTTCCGTAGCGCGTCCCCTTGGCACGTCCCGCGGTGCGTGCCCATGGCACGTCCCTTGGCACGTCGCCTGGCGCGTCCCTTGGGACGTTCCTCGGCGCGTCCTCCTGGCATGTTCCCTCTGTCGATTAGTTCTGGGGCAGCTACCATCTGCTCAGGCAGCTCGAGCTTACGCTCCAGATCAGTTTGGTGAGGACTCCGATGCCAGGGAGGACTCGATCCCCAACGCTATATAGAGCACAATCGCGGCATGGCACATCGCAGTTCAGCACGGCGTAGCACAGCACAGCCGTCGGCACGGTACGTCAAGATCGCACTAAGCATTGCATTTGCCCGTCGCCCAATCAGGTGTCTTTGAAACGTTGCCATGCCTTACATTTCTATGTTCCTTTCCGGGTTCGTGGGTCGATCATGTTTTTCCCGGAAAGGGCTCGAGCCCAGGGTTCTCTTTCAGCTGTTTACCCCTGGATTCGACGGCTGTAGGGCCGGCGAAATTATTCTGCCATAAATTACGTGCGGGAGTAGGGCCGGCGGAATTATTTTTGAGGATGTCTCTAGCGAGATGCTTGTTTTTCAGATTTTGTTGAGGATGTCTCGAGCGAAACGCTGGTTTTGCAGAGTTGGGGATGTCTCGAGCGAAACGCTTGTTTTCTGATTTTGTTGTTGAGGATGTCTCGAGCGAAACGCTGGTTTTGCAGAGCCGACCGCGACGCGGAAAAGCACCCCTCGCGCAGGAATTCCGATGATGTTTCGCGCGTGCCGCGTCCCGCGCGCATGAATTTCGAGGATGTCTCGACTAATTCGTTTGTTTTGCTAGGATTACTTTCAATTTTTGCAGAATGTCTCGAGCGAAATGCTTGTCTTTCATAATTTGTTGAAGACGTTTCGAGCGAAACGCTGGTTTTGCAAAATTGGGGGATGTCTCGAGCGGGGACCTCGTGGGGGGCCTCGTGGGGGTCCAGAATTCAGAGGATATCTCAGGCGAAATGGTTGTTTTCACGTCCCGCTCGCAAGAATTCCGAGGTTGTCTCGCGCGTGCCGCGTCCCGCGCGCAGGAATTTTGAGGATGTTGGCAGGATGTCTCGAGCGAAACGCTTGTCCCCAGCACGTTCCGTAGCGCGTCCCCTTGGCACGTCCCGCGGTGCGTCCCCATGGCACGTCCCTTGGCACGTCGCTTGGCGGGTCCCTTGAGACGTTCCGCGTCGCGTCCTCCTGGCATGTCCCCTTGTCAATTAGCTCTGGGGCAGCTACTATGTGTTCAGGCAGCTCGAGCTTAAGATCCAGATCAGTTCGGTCAGGACTCGGATGCAAAGGAGGACTCGATCCACGAGGCTATAGAGCACAATCGCGGCATGGCACATCGCAATTCAGCACGGCGCAGCACAGCACAGATTTCGGCACGGTACATCAAGATCGATACACTCAGCATTGCAACTTGGCACGTTCCGTGGGGCGTCCCTTGGCGAGTCCCCCTGGCACGTCGCGTGGCGCGTCCCCTGGCACATCCCGTGGCACATCCATTGGCACGTTCCGTAGCGCGTCCCCTTGGCACGTCCCGCGGTGCGACCCCATGGCACGTCCCCTGGCACGCCGCCTGGCGCCATCCCTTGGGACGTTTCGCGGCGCGTCCTCCTGGCATGTCCCCCTGTCCATTAGCTCTTGGGCAGCTACTATGTGTTCAGGCAGCTCGAGCTTAAGATCCAGATCAGTTCGGTCAGGACTCGGATGCAAAAGAGGACTCGATCCACGACGCTATAGAGCACAATCGCGCCATGGCACATCGCAATTCAGCACGGCGCAGCACAGCACAGCCCTCGGCAGGGTACATCAAGATCGATACCTTCAGCATTGCATGTGCCCGTCACCCAATCAGGTGTCTTTGAAAACGCTGCCACGCGTTACGTTTCTATATTCCTTTCCGGGTTCGTGGGTCGATCATGTTCCACGTGTACCCTTGGTGGTCTCGACCCATTCCCCAGGACCGGGTTCTTATCCCAAGTCGTCTTTTGACGATTCTGGGGCCCTGCGGGGACCCTTGGAGACCGAAGAAAGCAAAACACTAGGTCCTGATTTTTTCCCGGAAAGGGCGCAGGCACAGGGTTTTCTTGTAGCTGTTTACCCCCGGATCTGACGGCTGTAGGGCCGGCGAATTTTTTTGCGATAAATAACGAGGTCGCGTAGGGCCGGCGAGTTAAAATTTGAGGATGTTCCTAGCGAAACGCTTGTTTTCAGAACTTGTTGAGGATGTACGAGCGAAACGCTTGTTTTGTGTTATATATTGTCTTCTCCTGGGGACCAGAATTCAGAGGAGCTCTGAAGTGAAATGCTTGTTTTCACGTGCCCAGGTCTTGAGGATGTCTCGAGCGAGACGCTTGGTTTCACGCCTCCAGGTTGCCCAGGCAGAGGTCTAGCGACAGGATTTGCCGAGGATGTCTCGAGCGAGACGCTTGGTTTCACGCGTCCTCGTCGCCCAGGCGGATGTCTAGCATGAGGATGTGTTGACGAAGTCTCGATCGAGATGCTTGTTTGCACGTGTCCAGGTTATCCAGGCGGATGCCTAGCATGAGGATGTGTTGAGAATGTCTTGAGAGATACGCTTGTTTTCACGTGCCCAGGTCGCTCAGGCGGATGTCTAACATGAAGATGTGTTGAGGATGTCTCGAGCGAGACGTTTGCTTTCACGTGTACAGGTCGCCCAGGCGTATGTCTAGAATGAGGAGGTGTTGAAAACGTCTCGAACGAAACGCTTGTTTTCACGTGCCCAGGTCACCCAGGCGGACGTCTCACATGAAGGTGTGTTGAGGATGTCTCGAGCGAACCACTTGTTTTCACGTGTCCAGTTCGCCCAGGGATGTCTAGCATGAGAATGTGTTGAGGATGTGTCGTGCGAAAAGCTTGTTTTCACGTGTCCAGGTCGCTCAGGCGGATGTCTAGCATGAGGAATTTTGATAGGATGTCTCGAGCGAAACGCTTGTCCCCAGCACGTTCCGTAGCGCGTCCCCTTGGCACGTCCCGCGGTGCGTCCCCATGGCACGTCCCCTGGCACGTCGCTTGGCGCGTCCCTTGAGACGTTCCGCGGCGCGTCCTCCTGGCATATCCCCATGTCAATTAGCTCTGTGGCAGCTACTATGTGCTTAGGCAGCTCGAGCTTAAGATCCAGATCAGTTCGGTCAGGACTCGGATGCAAAGGGGGACTCTATCCACAACGCTATAGAGCAAAGTCGCGGCATGGCACATCGCAATTCAGCACAGCGCAGCACAGCACAGGCTTCGGCACGGTACGTCAAGATCGATACGTTCAGCATTGCAACTTGGCACGTTCCTTGGCACGTTCCGTGGGGCGTCCCTTGTCGAGTCCCCCTGGCACGTCGCGTGGCGCGTCCCGTGGCGCATCCCGTGGCACATCCATTGGCACGTTCCGTAGCGCGTCCCCTTGGCACGTCCCGCGGTGCGACCCCATGGCACGTCCCATGGCACGTCGCCTGGCGCGTCCCTTGGGACGTTTCGCGGCGCGTCCTCCTGGCATATCCCCATGTCAATTAGTTGGCAGCTACTATGTGTTCAGGCAGCTCGAGCGTAAGATCCAAATCAGTTCGGTCAGGACTCGGATGTAAAGAAGGACAGGATCCACAACGCTATAGGGCACAATCTCGGCATGGCACATCGCAATTCAATTCAGCACGGCGCAGCGCAGCACAGCCTTTGGCACGGTGCATCAAGATCGATACACTCCGCATAGCATGTGCCCGTCACCCAATCAGGTGTCTTTGAAAACGCTGCCACGCGTTACATTTCTATATTCCTTTCCGGGTTCGTGGGCCGATCATGTTCATGATCAGAGGGGGTCTGAGGAGGAGGAGGAGGAGGAGGAGGAGGAAGGAGGAGGAGGCAGCGGAGGCGGAGGCGGAGGAGGAGGAGGAGAAGGAGGAGGAGGAGGACGGTGAGGGGGGCCCAGCCGCAGGAGCGCTGGGCCGGCGACTCGTCCGAGTTCGCGCCGTTTGTGCGGTGGCTGAGCAAGAAGGACCCGCGGCTCCTTGGGGAGAAGGTGGATGAGGAACAGGCAGGAAGGAGGACGACGGGCGCAGGGATGGGCAACGGGAGGGGGATGGCCGCTCAGCCGGAAACGTCCACAGGCCATCATCATCAGTCATCCGTCGCCGGGCGTCGGCTCGGAGTTACATGCACCCGCACCGGCCCACACGATTCGGAGGAGGAGGAGGAGGACGACGACGACGACGAGGACGATCACAACGACGGTCACGACGACGACGACGACGACGACGACGACGACGACGACGACGACGACGACGACGACGACGACGACGACGACACGGGCACAGAGGAGAGGGAGGATGAAGGAGGAGGGGCTGCTGAAGGAGAGAGAGCGGGTAGGAGGAGAGGGGAAGAGGAGAAGGAGGAGGGGCTGACACAGGGGGAGGATGAGAAGGGCGGTTGTCCCGTGGTATCTGCGTTCGCGCACACGCAGTTAACCGAGTATCACCTGTAGTCCCCTGATGTACTGATGGATGATGAGGTGAGGAGTGGGATAGTGATGTGGATGTACTTTTTTTGCTTAGGTGGCCGAGCAGAGCATGGACTTGAAGCGCTTGTAGCGCTCGGTCCGTAGCACGTCGGCCTCTCCTAGGACGGCTTGTAGCGCTTGTCCTGGTGGATGGAGTTCTCGTCGGCCTCGACGTCCTTATCGTCCTTGTTATCGTTGTCGTCGCTTTCGCCCCTGAACTGTACGGATACACCGTCGTAGTACCCCTCGTTGTCATGCTTGACGTCCTTGCCCTCCAGCTTCGACGGGTTTTCCGTGGTGTAGTAGTTCTCGGAGGTAGTGCCCATAAGCGCACGAGGTTGAAGTCGTCGTTGGAGCCCTTCGCGTCCTTCCATTTGCCCTCCTCTATGTCCATGCCGTGCTCATCGCGCATGCGGATTTAGTAGTGCACCTCGTTGGTGGTGAACGGGGTGTAGTGGAGGTTGCCCGTCGTCGGCACTCAGTCGCTCTGGGCGCAGTAGCTGTACACGACGAACTGGGCAAGGTATTTGGTCTAGCAGCCGTATTGATTCTGGAAGAGTTTGGCATGATGGCTGTCCTTGAGTCGGCCGACGTCCATTTTGTCGGCCTCCTCCTCCTCCTCGTCCTCTCTGACCTTTGTCTTGAAGGAGGGGCTCAGACCTCTCATCTTCCTGGCGACTGAATCTTGAAGCGCGCCCTGCTTGTTCGAACCGAATCCTCATCATCGGCCTCCTGCTCATGTTCTTTCTTCTCAGCCCCCTTGCCAGGGACAGAGCTGTCTCAGACAGATTCGCACGACGGTTGTGCTTAATGGTTATTTGCAATTACGCGTGAAATAGACACTACGCACATACAGTACGCAAAGACACTACGTACATTCACTACGTAAATACACTACGTAAGTACACTACGTACACACACTAAGTATAGTATTTCACACCCACGAGAGCTCGAACGTGAAATGGAACTACGTGCATCCACTACGTAAATTCATCACGTAAACACACCACGTGAACACTACGCAAGCACACTACGTGACACACTACGCAGTCCACTACGTATATTAGTTCACACTCAGGCGCGCACACACGACACGGCCCTCGGCAAAGTAGCGTCACCACGGGCATTTCCAGCATTGCCATTTCCCATCGCCCGATCGAAGTGTTGGGAAGCGTCCCCAGGCCTCGCAGTTGTAAATCCCTTCCTGAGTTCGCGGGTCAATCACGGAAGCGCACGCCAAACGGCGACGCAAATACGGTACACGAAAACGCTACGCACATACACCACGCAGGAGCAGTACGCCAACGCACTACGCAAACACACCACGCATGAACATGACGCCACCACACTACGCCAACACATTGCGCCAAGACACTACGCAAATGCGCGACGTTGAATCCATTACATATAATACGCTACACACACTACGCACATACACTACGCAAATACTACGTATATACACTACGCAAATCCACTACGTAAACGCACTACGCAACTACACTACATGAAACCACTACGGAAATACACTACGCAAGTACACTACGTGGCGCGCTCCCTGTCATGTCCCAGTGCGGCGCGGCACAGCACGGGGGAGCACGAAGCAGCCCCGGGCACAGCAGCGTCACCACGGACATCTATCTCCAGCATTGGCATTGCTCATCGCCCGATCAAGGTGCTTGGCAGCGCCTCCAGGCCTCGCAGTTCAGAGTCCCTTCCTCGACGACGGAAACGCATGACGCGAAAACGCTACGCGACAACATTACGCGGAAAGCTTACCCCACGCGGTGAAATGCATTCAGCGAAACACACGATGCAAGCCCCTCACGCCAAACGGCGAAACGGCGACACAAATACCATACACGAGAACACCCTACGCAAATACACCACGCAGGAACACTACGCCAACACACTACACCAGCACAATACTCTGGCCCATCACACTACGCGATAACACTACGCAACCGCATTGCGTAAAGACGAAACATAAATACGCTACGCACATACGCTACGCACATGCGCTACGAAATTCAGTACGTGGAAACACTACGTAAGCACAGTGCGTAAATACGCTACGCACATACGCTACGCAACAAGCACTACGCACTTACACTACGTACATACACTATGGAATTGCACTGCGTATATTGTTTCACGCTTAGGCGCAACTCTCGACAGGGACATGCGCACCGCGATGGAAGCCACCACTGGCGACGAGCTCCGAACGACGCCTGGGACAAAGCCACCACTGGCGCCTCCTGTCGCGGTCTTGGCATCAACAAAGCGGGATATGTGTGTCCACCAGCTTCGTCAGTTCCCTCCCGCACGTCCACGCAAAGGCCGAACGGCTCGCCCACGACCTCGACAAAGGAGGCTCGCGACCAGCGCGCGCGGATGAGCCCGCGGATGCCCTGGTCGCACAAGTCCTTCCCGGGTGTCCTGACACCTCTTTCCTGGGTCCCGAGACCAAGGTGGGATGGTGGGCCAAGCGGAGGAGGAGGGGGAACAGGAGGAGGGAGGAGGAACAGGAGGAGGCGGAGGATGAGGATGAGGAGGAGGAGGAGGAGGAGGAGGAGGAGGAGGAGGAGGTGGAAGAGGAGGAGGAGGAGGGAGGTCCTCTTGGGTCCTGGCGCCTCCTTCCTGGGTCCCGAGGCAGAGGTGGAATGCTGAGCCGCTTGCGTGGGATCCTCGTCGCCGCGGCGGGAGTCCCCCTCGAGATCCTCGCCCAACGCACCCCAGGAGGAGGAGGAGGCGGAGGAGGAGGAGGAGGAAAAGGAGGAGGAGGAGGCGGAGGAGGAGAAGGATGAGGATGAGGAGGAGGAGGCGGAGGAGGAGGAGGAGGAGGTCACAATGCACCTGCCAGCAACAGCGTATCCACTTGGAACGCTTGGCCTCAGCGCACGAGCAGGGTCGCCCCCCCTCCCCGACGAGGACGAGGAGGACGAAGATGCTCGAGTGGAGGCGTGCAATTCCAGCTGGCAGTGTGGGCCCACTTCGACGGTCCGCCACGACAGAAGCGTTGCCAGCGCCGCGAGAAAGCCACAACACATCTGAGGGCTGGGGCGGTTGCGCGCTGCAGTCGCCCCCAGCAGCGACCATGCCAGACTGTGGTCCGCGAGAAGGCCCGTTGGCCCAAGGTGACCGTCGTTGCGTTCCAGGACTCCGTCGAACTGGTTTCCTATCCTTGTGTGTCTGCCCCAGCGACCGCACCTCCTGCGGCTCCGCGGCTACTGTCGAAGAAGAGAGAAGTGCGCAAGCACAAGCATCAGCTTCTGGAGGTCCGCGTGGATTTCTCGGATCGGCGCTGGACCCCCCTCCCTGGCGCACGGAGCGCGCCAGGGCGGCGCCAGAGGCGTTTCCCTGCTGCAGCCGAGCCGAGGCCACGAAGTGCCACCGCGCGCTGGCCAGGCACCCCCGTGGGGCCGCAGAGATCTGGGATCCGGCCGCCGAGCCCGCGGCGCGCGACCTCGCTGTGGACATCACCGCTCGCTCACGGTCGAGCGATCCACGCGGTGCCAGGAACCATCGCACAAGTCGTCATGACACGAACTTGCCGTGCAACGTCACCTTCCTGCACCGAGCGCCTTCCGCTACTCGCACAGTGCCTGCTTGCTCGCAAACGTCCGGAAACACATGTCTGCCTTGACACAGTGGAGCGCAGATCCCCCGCGGCGGACCCCAGGCCATTTGCGACTATGTACTTATACTTTGCGAGTAGTTACTTGCGAGCTAGGACGATGACAAATCCGTTCCACAGCGTTCCAGAACGCTCTCAGGGCGCTCCGGAACGCTCTGAGAAGGCCGCGGCGCCCGAGACATCCCCCCCGATCCGCAGGATCTCAGAGGTACTCGACTTATCCTCAACCGATTTTTTATCCTCGCCACCACTCCGATGGCTTCGCCCACCACACCGATGGCTTCGTCTTACCGGTGCCCACCACGCCGGAGGCTGGCCCGGCCAGAGCGGCAGGCGGCGGCGCCGCGGCGCCGCGCCGCGGAGACGACGACGACGACGACGACGACGACGACGACGACGACGACGACGACGACGGCGGCGGCGGCGGCGACGACGACGACGACGACGACGACGGCAGGCGGCGGCGCCGCGGCGGCGCGCCGCGGAACAGGCCCCGCTCCGGCTGGCCAGACCGCGACGACGCCTGTGGCGTCTCGGCCTGGCTTCTTCCGCCGCGCCTGCTGTGCAGCGCGGCCGCGCACGATCTCGCGGACTCCGCCCGAGGGAGAGCGACGACGCATAAGCATGCAGTCGGACCGAGGTGGAAAGATCGAGGTCGGCTCGGGGAGGGTAACCCTGGTGTTCTCCGTGCTTGTTGGATGCTCTTGACCATCCTGGGGAGGGTTGGGGGGACCAAATGCGAACCCTACCCCTACCCTTACGATTTCTGAGGGGGAGGGTGGGGTTCACTTCGCTCGGGAGCTCCCAGACGAAGTGAACCCCACCCTCCCACTCAGAAACCAAGGAGGGTAGGGGTAGGGTTCGCATGTGGCCCCCTATGGATGTTCTGTGTGTTTTGGCCGACGGCGGGTCTCATGTTCTTGCGGAATGTTCTTCTGGGGTAGGTCCGACGGCAAAAGCAGACTTTCGGAGGTTCGCGCGGATCTCTCGGATCGGCGCTGTATCCCCTCTCGGAGGCGCCTCCGGCCTCTGGCGCCGCCCCTGGCGCGCTCCGCGCGCGAGCGAGGGGGGTCCAGCGCCGATCCGAGAAATCCGCGCGGACCTCCGACAACTCATGCTCGTGCAGTTGTTTCTTCTTCTATCCTTATGATGTTCCAACCTACTTTAGCCTTGATCACCAGAAGGGCTTTCGAGCACCAAGGATGTACCGAGACTTCACGTGTCGGGTCCTGGGATGCGATGCTCGCTCGATACTGGATCGGTACTTTTCTGGGTGCTCGATTTTTGTTCTGGGATGTGGCCCTTAAGTGCGATGGGGCAGCATAATTCTATTCATGGATCCCTTGCCTGCCCGCCTTCCGCCGCTCCACGCCCGTCCCGTCGACGATGCTGTCGCTCGTCCCGCTCTTCGCCCCCTTGCACTGATGGGGTCCTTTTGGCAGCCCAGCAAGGCGTATCTGCAGAGCTCGACTCTGGGACCCAGAGCTATACCAGCGCGCAGTTCGCTTGGCATCGGTCGCTCGGACGCGTGCATCCTTCCGGCGAGGACCATCGAGGAGCATTTTGGCTCACCTTGCGAAAAAGTAGACGCACGAAGCCGCACAACGCACTGGGAACGGACGTCCGAGCGATGGCAGGGTCGACGTCCGCACGGACAACGAAGAAGGTGGACCGTCCACCTGTGAAGGTCAGGCCGGACGAAAGGGGGGGATTGGGAAAGGGGGGAGTGCGAAATCTGCTGCATGCAGCTGGTTTCGGCCCCGCCGCCGGGCCCATTCCTCGATACATGGGCGCCTCCCGGCGCCGGGAGGCGCTGGGAAAATCGGCTACGCGAGCTGATTCTCTACCCTGCCCTTTGCGATGCCCCCCTTCCGCTCCCCCCGAGAAGAAGGTGGGCCGACCACGTGTGAGGGGCTCTGGCCCCGCTGCCGACCTCCTCGGGGGGCGTTCCCCGCGCGCGCGCGCGGAACGGCATCCCGGCGCTCGCTCGCTCGCCTTGCCCGTGGCGCGCGCTTGCTGCTCCCCCTGCCCCTCGCCCGTGCTGGCCCCACCTGGCGGCCCGTGCCCCTGCGGGTCTGCTGGAGCGCTCGCGCGCGCGCGCCTGACTGCTGGGCTCAGTCCAGCACATCCTCCACCTCCTACCCCATTCCGCCTGTCTTCCTCCTCCTCCTCCTCCTCCTCCTCCCTCCTCCTCCTCCTCCCTCCTCCTCCTCGTCCCCCCCTCGTCCTCTCAAGCCTCGTCCGCGATGTCATGTTCGCTGAGCGGTGCGACGTCCATACTCACAGCACAGCGAGCAGGGCGACCGAGGCTGCTTTGCGTGGCCCCCGTGCTCTGAGTTCGCTTGGGTCTGCAGCCAACTGCGCGCCCAGGAGTGGAGGGAAGGAGCCGCCCGCCCACAGCGTCTGCCACCCTCCAGGGTTTGGGCTCTCTCTGGCGGAGCGCCATGAGACGCTGCTCGTGCGCAGCGTGGCCAGCGTCTCTTCATCTCCTCCCCTTTCTCCTTGCGTTATCCTCCCTCCCCGTACTCCTCTACTCGTATTTCAACGTTGCCGTCGTCCTCCTCCTCTTCTTGGTTCTGCTCCTGCTGCCTTCTGATCATCGTCCCCCTTTGGCCTTCTTTTCCTCATCGCCTTCCTTCCACCCCCCCCTCCCTCCTACCGCAGGACATGTCCCTGCACCCGATCCTGTGGGAGCAAGAGGAGGCGACTGGCCACCGTAGAGAAAGGGCAACTGTGTGAGCTGGAGTTGGAGCAGATGGTAGATGAGGAGGAGGAGGAGGAAGAGAAGGAGGAGGAGGAGGAGGAGGAGGAGGAGGAGGAGAAGGAGGAGGACGAGGACAAGGACATCCGCACAAGGGGGTGTAACGTCAAGCACCTACTCAGGCGATCTACGCGCTACTGCCACAATCCCCTGCGACTTGTTGTGCTACAGCCCTGCTTTCTCACTAGGGCGGGCAGGGGGCATACCCCGTAGCTCAAGGACCGAGCTCCGAGGTGGCCCCGTAAGAGAGGCTCGCTACCTTACATCACGAGTCCCATCAGGTCAGTGCGGGGGGAGCAGCTGCTGGCCCTTCCGTGCGCCCTAGAAAAAGAGACGCGCGGGCTTAGCAGGGCGCCCAAGCCAAGGGGGGGAGGAGACGACGACACGACCTCAAAAGGAGGACAGGGGGGGAGAGGCGGAAGGCCCGAGACCCCAAACTGTTGCTGGGGGGGCTGCTACCTCTTCAGTTTTAATTACGTGCTCCCCTCTCTCACTCAGCTCACTTCTCGGTCGTTCCGAGAGATGCTCCATGTGTTGTAACATCTGTATGTTGTACCCTGTGAACTAGCCCAAGGTTCCCCCTCGGTTCACGGCAGGCCAGCGACCGTTTTCTTTCTCACCTCCCCGACGGCCCTCCTTTACTCCTTTACTCCTTTACCTCGTATCGATCTCATCTTCCCGCTAATCTCGCTTCTCACCTTTTCCCTGATGCGCCCCCGCCTTCCCGCAGGGCTTTGCCGTGATAGGGTGGCAGGGCAGGTTTGCAGGTACCAGGCGCCGCCCGATCTACTTCGAAACAGTCAGTTAGGAGGAGGAGGATCGGCAGCCACCTAGGACGGGAACACCTGCCATGACCTTCCCTAAGGGCACCTTTTCGTACGCCTTAGCGGCCGCCGGTCAAGGCGCCATCGACGAGCTCGCCTCGTCGGGCGGGCCTGGTGCCACGATACAGGGTTCCAGAGCGTTCCGGAAAACTCTCGGAGCGTCCCGGAGCGCTCTGGAACGGCCGTGACGTCCGACGCATCCTCCAGTCCCGCAGGATCTCAGAGATCCCCGATGTGTTCCGGTCCGATGCTGGCCCGGTTTTGGCTCCGCCTTGCTTCGGACTCTCTCTCTCTCTCTCTTTCTCGGCCGTCTCTCCCGCAGGAAGAGGAGGAGGAAGAGGAGGAGGAGGAGGAGGAGGAGGAGGAGGAGGGGGAGGAGGAGGAGGAGGATCAGACACCTCTGGGCCGCCACGTCCGCCTCCACCTCGGCGATGGCGACGGCCGTCTCGTGGGCGAGCAGCCGCCGCTCGCCCACGAGGAGCCCGCGCGGGGGCCATCCGCGCGCGCGGGCCTGCTCGCGCTGCGCGGGCGCCATCGTCGGAGCCGCCGCTCCCGACCCGCTACGGCGACGACGACGACGACGACGACGACGACGACGACGACGACGACGACGACGACGACGACGACGACTACGACGACGACGACGGCGGCGGCGACGACGACGACGACGACGAAGACGTTGACGACGACGTTGACGACGACGACGACGACGACGACGACGACGACGACGAAGACGTTGACGTTGACGACGACGACGACGACGACGACGACGACGACGACGACGACGACGACGACGACGACGACGACGGCGACGACGACGGCGGCGACCGCTGGCAGCTGGCGCCATAGCGCCGCGGCGGGCAGGAGCGCCGCGGCAGCGCACAGGGATGCCATCCGCCGCCGGCGGCGGGCGCGCAGCTCGCGGCGAGGTGCCGGAGGTGTCCTCGCACCGCGCGTGTTGTTCGGCCAACTTCGGGCCCCGGGGCCTTCAGAGATCGATTGGGTATGGCCAGGACCCCGGGTAAGGGGACCCGGTTACTGGTAGGGCCCTGGGGCCCTTCCATTGGCCAGATGCACCGAACCAGGTTTGCCGCAACTGGCGTTTTTCGGGTGACGGCAGTTCCGGTTCGTGGAAATGGGACGGGGGGGCGCCCCCAGGACAAATCACTAAACCAGGTTCCACTAAACCCAGTTCTGCCAACGCCCGAATCGATCCAATTCGATGGGAGTCTGGGGCTCCGGTCGTGATGTTTGTCGCGCCGCTGCACTCTCTTGATCGCAGCGCAGGGTTTCGGGGGAGGGCGTCTGCCTGGAAGTCCTCCTGCGGGCGCAACGAGGGGGGGGGAAAGGCATAGGGAGGGTTTCGTCGACCTCGAATGGTTGATGCATCGACGATGCATCGCCGATGCGTCGTGGATATCAGGGCGATACCGTGGATGGAAACAATTAGCGCGAAACTGATTCGTAACGTTGGAATTTCGCCATTCTAAGTCCACGGGTTCCAATCTGAGCACGATAGGCGGCCGCCGCCGAAAATGTAGAAAAATCAACGCGAACCACAGGCGTATGTTTCTGAGCCCCGTATTGCCGCGGCCCAGACTGCACTCACGGTTTCTTTGAACGGCGGCTTTTCAACGTTACGATCTTGTTTCGCGCTACAGCCGGCTTGGATTAGTAGGTCGACCCTGCCAGCTCAAGGGTACCCTTGTGTCCTGTGCATCGCGACGCGTGCCTTCTTACACTCCTGTGGCGATGTGGCCCTCAGAAGGGTCCTGTGTCCTCTCGCGTGTCCTGTCCAATGTCCAATCAAGGCCGACTGTGATTTTTCACGTCCACGGTAGAGATCAGCGATGTGCGAGGACACACGCGAGAGGACACAAGACCCTTCTGAGGGCCACATCGCCACAGGAGTGTAAGAAGGCACGCGTCGCGAGGCACAGGACACAAGGGTACCCTCGAGCTGGCAGGGTCGACCTACTAATCCGGGCCGACCGTGTAGGCCTACCAAATAGTGTTCTGAGAACCTTTCGTGGCTTCCACGACATGTTCTTATAGAACGTTTCTGGTTGAGACGGTCTTGTTTTAGCACATCGGGTTGATGTTCTAAGCACAGTGTTTTCGTTCTGAAAGAACATTTTTGGGTTCTGAGAACATGTCGTGGTAGGACTAGGAACGCCGGGACGGTCGGTCCCTGCTCAAGTGCCACAGGCCCGGGTGGCGGCGTGTGCTCAGCGAGTCGGGGCTCGAGAGGCGGGCGTCGATGCTCATGGCGCCAACGTCGCAGAGCGGGCTTCGTTCGGAAAACGATCGGGTGGGCCTGGAGTGTCCTGGAGAAGTCCGTTCCGGATCTCGAGACGAACTTCGTGCGGATCTGTTGACCAGGAGTGAAGACCAAACAAAACCCACGAAGTTCATTTCGTCTTTCGCGCGCCGGTTCGGGCATAAATCCAAGCAGAAATCCACGCAGAAATCCGCTGCAGCACGTCTGCAAGGCCGGTGCAATGTCAATGCAAATGGGGGTGAGCCAGCGCGCCGGATCTTGAAGGATCCTGCAGGGCCAGGGTCGCATTGACCCAGGCTCGGGTGCAGGGTCTTGCGGGATCTTGCAGGATCCTTTGCGTTGACCTGGGCTTGAGTGCAGGATCTTGCAGGATCCTGCAGGATTCTGCAAGGCCTGGCTGACCCGGGTCTGCATTGACCTGGGTGGGGAGATCCCCGAGCCAGGGGAGCCATTGCGCTCGTCGGCGGCGAGCCCCGGGGATCGTCGCGGTGCTGGTCTGGCGAGGGTGGGGCCCATGGGGGAGATGTTGGGGGAGTTTCTCGCGGGTTTCTGGCGTTCGGTTGGTTTCGCGGTTCTCGTTGGGTTTCGCGTTTTTGCGTTTTCGGGGTGTTAAGGGGCCTGTGAAATGCTAACCCTACTTCTACGGCCCCAGGGACCCACGGCGTATCGGATACAAATCTAAGTCGTGCACACATAAACTAGGCCTCCGAACGCATAACGTTGTTAAGAGAATAACTGTGCCTTTGGTATTCCCATCGACTGTTTGTTGAGCCAGCAAAGTGCTAAACCGTATCAGTAGTATGTGCGACGTATGTCGTACGCACCCAATGAACTTAGGAACCTAAGAGATCATATAACGAAGCTATACGGGAACATCGGGAACTGAGAGGAAAACTGGAAAGGAAACTATGGGAGCCAAGGAAACTGAGGACTGAGGGATCTGGGAGGAGTTTTCTGAGAAACGCGCAATACTCCAGGAACTGTCATTAGTATTCCCCCGACAACTTGGCCTCATCCAAATATTGCGTACGATCGGGCGGGGTGCGCGAGGTCCTTACATCGAGCCGTCTGAGTTGCCCACAACATCATCGTTGTGTATCTGGACTCGAAACATCTTCAGGCCATATTGGATCCATTGTCGTTTTCCTTGTTGTGAATGCTTGGGTTCGTAGCCATTTGGGCTGCAGATTCATGCTTTACTGTACATTTCTATGTCGAGCTCTGATGGAAAATTGGAAGTTCAATGTGCGTCCAGCGCCGACGAGCTCCTGCAAGTTGACGTTCGACCTAAACGTCGGCGCTTGACGCGCCCGCCACTGGAGGAGGGCCCGCTGTACGTCGCTGCCGTGCTGGGCAACGCTGCTCTCCAGAACCCTCGTCTGGGGCGGGTGGCGTTTCGAAACAAGCTTGCAGGCGTCCGCTTGCTTGCGGCAGAGGGTGATATTGCTTTCTTCGGCCTTGTGGCGATGCAGTGGCAACTGCGCCAGATGGATCACGTCAAAGACCCTACCCATGAGTTTTTGCAAGTTACTGGTGGGCGCCGAGGGCGCCAGGGTGTTCCCATTGGCATATTAGAATATCGTGTGATGGACTGCGTGTCTATTCTGGAGCCAACAAACATATCTTCGGACTTGTCCGATCGCCAGGCCCTTCTCGAAGAGGTTCGTTCCCGAGTGGTTGGTCGAGAGGCGCTGGAAACATTCATTGCTACACATGGGGTTATCACAGATGTGTTTACAGTGTCTGTTGACATTGCAAACCTGGTCGTGCAAGGCTGCCTGGAATTATCTCATTGGCTGGTGTTCGCAAGAAGGATAAAGGATTTAATGTTCCCGAT